CCGGGGCCGGGGCCGGGGCCGAGCGGCGCGGAGCTCAGCTTCGTCTGTCGCCTGCCTGGGGAGGGCTTGGCCCTGTCCCGGCCGAGGCAGCGGGGCTGAGGCGCGGTGTCAGCCCTGCTCGCCCGCGACCTGTGGGTGGAAGCGGTTTGCCGCCGGCAGGCTGTGAGAGCGGCCTGAGAGGGAGAAAGGGCCCGCCGCGTCCGTCTGTGCGCCCCTTGGGGGTTCAGCGCCGGATGGCGAAGCTCTCGGCAGCTCTGCCGAGCGGGGTCCTGCCCCATTCGGCGTCGGCGTCTGCTCACACTTGCCCCTGCTCTGGAGCACGGCTGTTTTTCTGTGGACCGGCTGCACTCCCTCAGATGAACCAAGGCACTGTACCGCGCTTGTTTTAGCGGGCTGGCAGGGACACTCGCCGTCACATCAACGAGTTAAGTGAGTTCATAGAAGGATCTGAAAAGCGCGGGTGTGGTGGGGTAACCAGCAGCCCAGCACCTACCCAGCAGCTCTGTCCTCCTCCCCCGGGACAGGTAAGAGAGCAGGAAGAGCAAAAATGAGAAAACTCATGGGTCAAAGTAGAGACAGTTTAATTAAAGTGAAGGAAGGAGGAGGCAAAAAGCCCCCACAAGGGCTCCAAAGGCAGTTGCTCACCACCTCCCACAAGCAGGCCGATGCCTGGCCAGTCTCCGAAGTAACAGCCACCTCGGAAGTCAAACCCTCTCCCCCTCCCCTTTCTTCTTCCTCTACTTCAGTTTTTATTGCTGAGTATAACATATAGCATGGAATATCCCTTTGCTGGGCTCAGGTCAGCTGTCCTGGCTGTGTCCCCTTCCAGCCTCTTGTCCACCCCCAGCCTGCTCACTGGGGAAGAGAGAAAGCCTTGACACTGTTTAGCAGTAGCCAGAACACTGGTGTGTTATCAACACTGCTTTGGCCACAAATGCAAAGCATACCACCATGCAGGCTGCTATGAAAAAATTAACTCCATCCCAGCCAGACCCAGCACAGCTGGGGAGAACACTGCTGGGAGGGCAGGAAGCAATGCTGCATCCACTTGTGAGCCTTTAGATCAGCTAAGCAGCCTGTGAGACTGCAGCCCAGTACTCCGGTCAGAGGAAGAATGTATCTTAAAGTGACAAAGTGTAAGAACTCTTCCTTTGAGGAGGGATAAATATACTGAAATGAGATAAGGCAGTGGATGGAATAAGGACTTTTCGTCTTTAAAAATTTTAAAGAAGTGGTGAGTTCTTTACCAAAAATGAAATAGCACCTCATTTATGCAGCCACATCATACATACGTTTTCTGGTGAAGTTGTGTGGTTTTCATGGGAGGATCTAGTGTTTAGTTTTAAACTCTGCTTAGTTGTTATTGTGGTGCAGTAAGTCATATCCTGTGGAAAAATGAGTGTGTGTGATCTTTATCTAGTAACTATATTGGAAATAAATTAATATGTAGGTGACAGTTTCGGGTTATAATGTAATAATTATGCTTCAGTTTTATATTTGGAACTTGATAGAAAACAGGAATTTAGGAATATTTCTTGGTTTGTGTGTTGTTTGGGTATTTTTTTACTTTCTGTGGTGGCCCATGTGATTATGTTATGTGACTTTTACATCTTATTTATCTCCTTAAAAATATTGGATGTAGACTTTAAGTTTCTTTTCCAAATTTTCAGAGACGGGTGTATAGAACAACAACGCACGTACCACAGGAATTAGGACAGATTATGGATTCAGAAACATTTGAAAAATCTCGTCTGTATCAGCTGGACAAAAGTACTTTCAGCTTTTGGTCAGGCCTGTATTCAGAGGTTGAGGGCACCGTAAGTACCTGAGCTGATCTAGCATTCATATGATACTTTTCATGTACTTAAACTGTGAAATACTTTGATTCTTAGTGATCCTGTGCAGCTGCACTGTTGGCATTCTGGCATCTTACATCAAACACTGAAATTTGGAAGGCCTGGGGTTCTTTGTTTCTTGTTTGTGGCTGTATTTGCTGTATAAAAAGGGATTATTCAGACAGCACATAATTTCTCTATGCAGTGCTGAGTCATTGTAAAATAGTATAAAGTCATGTAACTGTATAACTGTGATGTGAAACCAGTACTTAAGAACTGTGACCCCTCTTAACTTTCGCATTTCCGAATCTGTTTTGCGCAGCCTAACCTGTACATTGTTTCATTTTGTATGAACTTGTAAAAATGTTGTTACACGTGTCAGTATAGCTGTTATATTCTTCTTGTTGGGCTTTTTGGTACACTAAAAACTCAGGACAATTTTTGTGTGAATTCGAAAAGCTTCTATGTTTTTGAGTGACTTTAGAGGCAGTATTTCATTTGAAAAATGAAGATATACTCCCAACAGTGGATTAGTGGACGAGGTGAGATAGTACCCCCTAGCAAGTGCAACAAGTCAAAAGGTTCTGAAGCTTTATTTTGATTTCAAGAGCTTTAGCCAAAACAGCTTCCCTTGTTGCTTTTAAAAAAAATACGTGATTAGAACGAGCCTCTCTTGCCACTGAATTTAGTGCCCTGCAAAACAAAGAGCTGATCAGCAGTCAGTGCTTATCTTCACACAGGCCTACAATTGTTATGGTCCCCCGCAGCATTCCAGCCGCCAAATTGGAGAGATATGGGTTTCACAGATGGACTGGTAGATGGGTAAAGAACTGTCTGGATGGCCACGTCCAAAGAGTTATAGCCAATGGCTCAATGTCCAAGTAGTAAGGAGTGTTGTCCCTCAAGGATCTGTACTGGGACAAATATTATTTAATATCTTCATCGGTGGCACAGATAGTGGGATTGAGTGCACACTCAGCAAGTTTGCAGATGACACCAAGCTCAGTGGTGCAGTTGGTATGCAAGAGGGAAGGGATGCCATCCAGGGCGACTTTGACAGGCTTGAGGAGTGGGCCCGTGCAAATCTCATGAAGTTCAGCAAGGCCAAGTGCAAGATCCTGCACCTGGATCTGGGCAGTCCCCAGTATAAGTACAGACTGGTGGATGAATTGAGAGCAGCCCTGCAGAGCAGGACTTAGGGATACTGGGTGACAAAAAATTGGATATGAGCTGGCAATGTGCACTTGCAGCCCAGAAAGCCAACTGTACCCTGTGCTACATCACAAGAAGCATGGCCAGCAGGTGGAGGGAAGTGACTCTCCCCCGTCTACTCTGCTCTCATGAGACCCCACCTGGAGTACTGTGTCCAGCTCTGGGGTGTCTAGTACAAGACAGACATGGACCTGTTAGAGTGGGTCCAGAGGGGGGGGACACAGAAATGGTCAGAGGGCAGGAACACCTCTTCTATGAAGAAAGACTGGGAGAGTTGGGGTTGTTCAGCCTGGAGAAGAAAAGGCTCCGAGGAGACCTTATTGTGACCTTTCAATACTTAAAGGAGGCTTATAAAAAAAAAGATGGAGAGAGACTGTTTACCAAGGCCTGTAGTGACAGGATAAGGAGCAACAGTTTCAAACTGGAAAAGGATAGATGTAGATTGGACATAAGGAAGAAATTTTTTACAATGAGGGTGGTGAGACACTGGAACAGGTTGCCCAGAGAAGTTGTGGATGCCCCGTCATTGGAAGTGTTCAAGGTCAGGCTGGATGGGGCTTTGAGCAACCTGATCTATTGAAAGATATCTCTGCCCATGGGAGGGGGGTTGGACCAGGTGATCTTCAAAGGTCCCTTCTGATCCAAACCATTCTGTGATTGTGCCTGTGTAGGAAAAGCACAGACTTTGCTTTCTCTCATGATCTTTTCTTTCTGTTCTGTCCCTGTTACTGTAATAACAGGTCCACAATGATTTTGGCAGCTGATTGGTCTGTTAAAGAAATTATTGCATCCAGCTGTCTTCCACAACTGAGCCACAAAACCCAGGCTTATGGTGGTGCTTCCTAAGCAGCAGTCAAAACCTGTTACTAAGTCAAGCATCTTAGCTTCTATGTTGTTCCACTGTTTCAGCTGTGATGGTTATAAACAGCTGGGAAGGAGTTGTGTCTCAAACTGCTGCTGCTGCTATTGAATTGATTGTGGTGCTCTGCTTTTTGTGTTGCAGTATCACTGATGAACAAAAGCCAAGGAAAAAAACATGGAATATGTGAGTTAAAGCTCCCAGCTAATTAAGCAAGCACTGGTCTGAATAAGCAGGTCTCAGAGCAGTCAGCTGAGATACTGTATGCCCATGTTCTACTAGTACTGACAGTCATTTTCATCTTCTGAACAAGAAGTTAGTGTTCCTACTTGGGCTTGATGGATTGTGGGCTTGGGATTCTGTATCCCAGAACTTGTTGAGTTTGGGACTGGGAGTGAGCTGTCCCAGGAGGGTTGCTAATGGGCCTGCAAGCTATTAGATGTCCAAGCTTTGCCTGCATTCGCAGATTTGCTACAGAGGTTGCAGAGCTTTGTGGAAGCAAGGTAACGCAAGTCCAGTGGCTCCTACATCTCACTTCTTCGTTATGGCTCCATTAATATAAGTTTTGCTTAGCTAGAGCTAAATAATCTACAACCATATAGCATCCCTGATAACCAGTCTCCCCTGCAGCAGGTTTCTTTATGGAGTTCTGTAGACCATTTTACATTACTTCTCTGGTGCTGGGCACTTCCTTCTGTGCAGCGTTGCCCTGGACTTTTGAAAGAGTTTTGTAGAGCTTCCTTAACAAATTTTATGTTAAAGTCACAAAATTTGTGTTTGTGGTTGAACACTCAGGTCCCATTTGGAATGAAATGAGGGAAGTATATCATAGCCAGCTGTGAGCTTTGGAAAATCTCCACAGCTAGTCCTCTCTGCTGCCCTCGTGTTTAGAATTCCTGTCCTTTAAAATTTTGTTCCTTGTTAACACACTTCTTATGTTCCCTTCTCCCTAGGAAAGCACACCCTCAGGTTTCTCTGATTATTTTGTTCCTGCAAAGGGAAAATTACACTTGAATGGAAATTCTACTTCCCCCCCCTGCCCCCCCCAATCCATTGTCATCCCAGGACAAGAGGTTTTCTTGGAAAATTCAGAGTTGGAACACATCCTTATGGTACCTTTTTTTGGTATGTTTTAAAGATCAGAAAAAAATCTAGGTAATCGTACTTTCCCAACTGCACTAACTGGTCTAAAAAAAATAGACGGTCTTGGAGGCATATAGAGCTGCTTCTGGTCAGTAATGGCAACTATACACTGAAAAGATAATACAAGCTTGGAATAAAGTTCAGAGCTGACTTAGCAGCTGGAGCAGTCTGAGTGATAAAGTAGTCATTACCTTTAGAGTAGTCCAAATGGTAGGGATAGAGAACCAAGGTGATTTATTTTTTTGAGATAATTGCTTGTGAAACATTGAAAACTTCCAGCTGTGTACAGTGGACTTAACAGAGACACTGAGTATCCAGCTCATTCTAATCTTCTTCCATCTGCTACTGCTAACACCTCTAGACTTGATATGCATCTTCCTAGGTTTTGAGAACTTGTTCTCAGTTGTACTGAAGTCTGCTGGCTTCACTTCAGACTTGAAGAAGAGCTTGTGTTTCCAAAAAAACCTGCCTGCTTTTTCCACTTACTGTGATCAACCTAATAAAAAGAAAACATACTGTATGAACCTTTTCCTGCATACCCTTATGCTGTCATGGCTGCTGCGTATCTCCTAATAGGGAAAATAACCTCTGGTCTGAAGGCTGCAGCAATGGTATGGTTGTAAGTAAGGCTATTATTGCTTGTTACATTTCAGGCAGCTTGTTCATACATTCCTCATTCCCAGGGCAAATTGTATGAAGTTCAACAAGGCTTAGTGCCGGGTCCTGCACTTGGATCGCAACAACCCCATGCAGCTCTACAGGCTTGGGGAAGAGTAGCTGGAAGGTTGACTGGTGGAAAAGGGCCTGGGGGTGTTGGTCGACAGCCAGCTGAATATGAATCAGCAGTGTGCCCAGGTGGCCAAGAAGGCCAATAGCATCCTGGCTTGTATCAGAAGTTGTGTGGCCAGCAGGAGCAAGGAAGTGATTGTTCCCCTGTACTCGGCATTGGTGAGGCTGGAGGTTGTAGTGAGGTGGGTATTGGTCTTTTCTCCCTAGTAAGAAGCAATAGGATGAGAGTAAATGGCCTCAAGTTGTGCCAGGGGAGGCTTACATTGGATATTAGGAAAAATTTCTTCACCAAAAGTGTTGTCAAGCACTGGAACAGGCTGCCCAGGGAAGTGGTCGAATCGCCATCCCTGGAGGTATTTCAAAGATGTGTGGATGTGGTGCTTGGGGACATGGTTTAGTGGTGGACTTGGCAGTGTTAGGTTCATGGTTGGACTTGATGATCTTAAGGGTCTTTTCCAACCTAAATGATTCTATGATTCTATTCTACAATCGGGCTGATACCCCTGGTGTGTAGGGTATGTGCAGCTGCTTCTCTACACGAGGGTGACTTACTCCATTCTGTGATGTTGAGCTGTGTCCATTTCTCAGAATCTGTCCTGGGATTATCAGATTCCAGCAGAGCTCAGTGAGGTGGCCTCTACGGTCTGGATTTGCCACTTCCTTAAATCATAAACTGCATCCTTTATTGGCTTTGGGGACTGCCTGAACTTGAAAGAGGCCGTAGTGGCCAAAGTTGATGAAATTATATGAGGTTTGCAACATTTTGCTTTTAGTAGGCAGAAATATGATTCATTAACCTAGGAAGTTAATTGGAGGGGAGATGCTGTGTTGGAATTACTAGTATGCTTTGATTTATTTCAGCCATTAATTATGTGGGTTTCTTTTTAACTAATAAGTAGTATCAACATCATGCTAATAGCTGTCTTTGTTCGGGGCTTGGTACTTCTGGGATTTCCAGCTCTGAAACTTAGAGGTAGCCAGCAAAGGAGAAACAAGCTTGCTTTGGTCCTTTCCATCTCCTGCTGACACTCAGAATGCACCCTGATATTTAGGTTATAAAAAAGTAAGCCTTTTAAAAATAAATAAGTAAATAAAAATCTGGTACTGTCCATACTGGAAGGCTTCCTACTTGAAGATTGATTTTTATATACATAGTGATGCATCACTTGCTAAGAAAGTAAATGTGAAACATTTAGAAGTCAAGCTGTTTAACAAACACTACCAGACCCTGCCCTGAACTACAGTTAGCACTTGCTTAGTAGCTCTGTCTCAAGCATTTCTTTGATGATGGTGTGTCCCAAGTAGTCCACTCCCTGTTCCTTGGCAACCTGTATGCCAGGAGACAGGCACGAGGAGATGTGGTGAGGCAGGCACAAGAAAGAGTGCATGAAGCTTTCTTAAAATGGTTGAAGCAGCACTAATACTGAAAGTGAAATTACGACCTTATTCTGAATGCCTTTCTCTTGGTAGGCAATGTGGAATGCAGGCAAGTTTGTCCCAGTGCAGTCAAGTTGCTGAATTTCGCATACCCCTCCTAGAGATGGTATGTTCTACAACCCTAGGGCAAATGAGTTTTAAGGTCTTCTGAAAAATATACCTCATGTCTGAGCCAATGTAGCAGCAAAGTCTACAGTAAATAGGCTTGGAAGTATGCTAGTATTTCCCAGGCAAAAAAAAAAGCTTAACCTGATCTCTACTTCTGTAAAGTAAAATGAACCATTGCCAAATATTCTAGGCTTTCTTTATGCACTGCTAAGATCAGAGGGGGACAAAAAGCCTAATTATAAAACTTTTCTCATTCACCCTTAAAAGGTCTTTATCATGCTGAAATTTTAGTAGAATAACATGACGGTCTGTTTCATATTGCCTCTGTGATGTGTATTTTTGTTTTCAAGATGATTCTGCTCTGTGGAGGAATTCCTTTTCTTTGGAATCTGTCTGGTCAGATCTCTGGTCGTGCTGGGTTTGGACCAGAATATGAGGTAAGCAGTCTTTAAATTTTAGTGAAAATATTTGGTCTGTGAACTACACTGTTATAATATTTTTTATTTTTAAGCTTGCATTTACTTAAAGTGGGTACAATATAGTAAAAATAACAGATATTTTCTGATGAACACAATGATTAGGTGAGTCTGAGAACTGATAACGGTATGTGACTTTTAAATTAGCTTACTAATTAAAATAGCCTAAAATGATAAAAACATAAAAGTCTCAAAGTTACGTGAGTCAAATGAGATGGTGGGTTGGGGTTTTGGGGGCTTTTTGTTTGGGTGTTGTCTTTTTACTAATCCTAGATGTGATCTTCCTGCACAGTAAAAAGGTAAGAAATTTGAGGCTACTGGTTATGTTGTCTTTGTGCTGTGGATGAGGCATCTATCTAAATTCTTGTCCCAAATCCTTAGTTTTTACTTAAATCTGTTTCGTCAGTGTACTTTTTTTTCTTTCTTTAATATAGTAAGCTATTCCAGTGATCAGTAATATAATCATCACAAAAGTCTTATTTCTGTGAATTGATCTAGCTTCATCTTCTAACCAGTTTCAGTTAAACCACTGACATAAAATCAATTTTTAACACACAGAATATTAATGTTAGTACAAGTCAGTAAATACCAGATTTATTTTTATATTTTTCTTTAGATTGTTCAGTCATTGGTATTTCTGCTGCTTGCAACACTCTTCAGTGCAGTGACTGGTCTCCCATGGAGTTTATATAACACATTTGTCATAGAAGAGAAACATGGCTTCAATCAACAGGTATTGTAGATAGCACTTATACTGACCTAATGTCCTCAGTAGGTTTGGTTGGTTAGATGGACTGATATGTCCATATCTGTGCCAAAGATAATTAGTTTTAGGAACATTTCTACTCGCATTGCATAAAAATAAGAGCAGTGACAGTTTGTGACTGTTGCAGAAGTACCCATGCCACACCAAAATGTCTCTGTGTGAGCCCATGCTTCTGAGCAAAGAGAAGTGTGTATTCTAGCAGTGGAACAAAGAACATTTCATGCCTCACCTGTTCATTTTTGGATGGACTATTCCTTGCCCTTCATATGCCCTTCCTGAGAAGTCTGGATCACTGCTTGACAGGGGCAGTTCTGACTCATGGACACTGAATAGATGAAACAAAACTGAGAAATTACTTTCCTCCTCATTCTGTTTTCCTTATTGATTTCTTGTATCAGCCTTTACTAAATTAGAGAAT